ATGCGTATTATACATGGGGAATTACGGTGATTGTCTTTTTGGTTTCCATTGTCCTTAAAACTTCGTCATTGGCGACATGTACAGACAATGTTATCTTCAGCATCCTTCTATATAACCACATTCCTGGTGCCTCAAGTTTGTCCAGGAATTACAACCATATAAGAAGATATTGCATAATACTTCAGTACTTTTGCTTTGTCTCTGAAGAAACTTTCCTGTTTCTTAATAATTTGCTTATCATTTAACATGTATCATACGCAATTTTTGAATAGTGTTTAGTGTCCGAATTACATGAAAGTAAACATATTTATATAACATATATAACATAAAAGAGAGATGATTATGTGCTCAGCAATGATCCTACGACCACACCCAGTCATGGGACTAATGATGATAACTAACGACGGGTACGGTAATGATCTTAATAATTGCTGTAATTTTCTCTCGGGAAGGCATTGATGTTATGCATCGTTTCATTCACAATCACTATAGGGTTAATAACGGAAAATTGCAAATTCTAACCGACGCAATCTTAGCAATTAATGCTTCCATTCGGTCCCGTTGATGGATCAACCACGCAAATCGTTTGTAAATGGACGGAATGCTTTTTAATTAGTACGACGTCACTTTAATTCGCGTTCAGATTTCTCCGAATAGATTTTATTACTAACTTGGCGCCATTAACATGATATTGGCTTAATTTGACTGACCCTATGCCATTTATTCAAAGGAAGAGGACTCGCGAATTGTACTGAAGAAAAATTCTGTTCATGTTATCACATTTTCAAACTTTGCTAAATAAACTAGGAAAAAAAAATTCGGCTCCGGGAAATATCCTGGCTTCTTCGGCTACGGTAATTTTTATTATTTATTATTACAAGGGACTAAAAATGAAGTATTGTTGCCGTATCTGGGATGGAGGTGCTCAGTTCAGTTATTAATTTGCCGATTTAATAGAGTTCAAAATCGTTTCCGGGGTCTCGTCTGTTAGGCAAGGACCGACTCTTAACAGAACATTTTCTTTCTTATCAACTCACAGATTGGGATTCATTTTCTCCATGACGCCCATGGAAGAAAATGTTTAATCTTCCCCTGGAAAATTGTGCCACACAAGTCTCTTCCTGAGTGAAAGCCGACATCGAAGCTTTCGTGCGAGCATCGATATATCAATTGAAATCGCAATCTTTTTCATTCACTCCTGCCTATTCAGCCATTATAGCTTGCAGGAATCATTACTATTCCAACGTGACTGTTCCGCCTCTTTATATCGGCTTATAATGAGTTTATCTTCAGTGAGGCATCCTCTCTACCCAATGGCATAATGAGACACCGTAAAGCTCGCATAATTTTTATTCTAGAGATTTCCGGCGAATCTGTAAGAGTCTGATGAGCAAGAGTAAATCCTAAATACTTACACTCCTCACTCAGCTTGATGTATTGTCATCTTTTGCTGATATCCCCTAATGTCCTCTTCTAACTCCACTCTCAACACACTAGAAGTATATTTGCTGCGTTTTCCTTTAAAATGGAAATGTCTAGTGAGGGTTATGCACTTAAACCCGCCAATGTTTTCTGCTATTATGTCGAAACTAGGTCTACAGAAGGCTTGCAGATTTGAAAGTATCCCTTAAATTTTCTTAAGAAATTGCGCTTCTGTGCTGGCTCCTGTTTTTTCTATCTCTATAAAAAGTGTCTTCATTATTCTTGCTTTTCAAATTTTGGAAATTCTCCTCTGTATTTCCTGAATTTAAGAATTCTTGTAAACTTACTGGGCTTATATTATCGAGATATTGGTGTTTTACTTCTTTTGCTGAAGTACAAGAGGTTCTAGTCAACGTCAAATTGGTTAAACATCTCACTTCACACAGTGCTTTTCTTTTTTTCTATCTCTACCACCTATTGTTAAATAATAGCAGACTATATTTTTTAGAGAAGTGTATCTCTGCTCCGACTTCCCCAGTTTGACCTTTGAGGTCAAATACATGATAAAACAAAGTAAGTCGATTTGGATTGACTGAACGAACGTGAGAATGATAGAGACATAGAAAGCTTTTTCCATGAGTCGGTTCTTATACGTCAAGCAATGTAGATGTTTTCCTTCGTCTCTTGGAAGCGGCTTCCCAGTTGTGTGAGAGAGCGACACCACTGCATATTTATAAATGTACACGTCTACGTGTTTAATAAAATAGATAATTTTAAAATTCCCTTTGTTGGCTCCGCGCGAAAGCTTCGATGTCTCCAAAAAAAAAACAACTAGCGATCACCGGCCGTGAAAATGAAGGCAACTTTATTATTATGGAACTGATCCCGTCGCCTCAAGACCAACGTAGAACGATGTGCTGACGCTTATTACTTAATATGGCTATTATGGTTTAAACGAGAATAGTAGGCTCGTGCTGTGGCTTTAGATATCTCAAAGTCGTTTAACAGGGTTTGATATGTCGGCCTTCTCATCAACTCCAACGTTTCTTGAATATTTCGTTCAATCCAATCGTTCTTAACAAATGAAGGTCGTGTTGAACGGACAAGTTTCTCGATCATTTTAAATTAGTGCGAGGATGACAGGGCTCTACCCTTCGTTATACGCTGTTTCGTAATGTATGGATAAGGCTTGGAGGTTGAAATCAGAGGGCCGAGTTCCAATTACAGTCGTGGTCGTTATATTCGCATTCTCACTTAAATATACTTGGGAAAGGCATGAATCCACCTCTTCTCATCACCCAGCTGTGAGTTAATTATTAGAACTTGTATCAGTAAATCAGTATTATATCCCCCAAATTCTTACAATCTAAAAATATTTCCCGGCTTTAAATAACATCCAACATGTTAAGTACCTACACAAAAACACATCGATTATCAATCAACATGGAGTAAAGAATAGCTTGTAAATCCGGCGGCATTTAAGCTAGCTCCTGTGGAGGAGACTTGGTTTGGCCATTATCACAATAGCTAGGGAGAAGTAGATGCGATAAGCATTAATAAACTACAAAAGAATCCAAAATTGATCGCTGCATTTAAATGTTGAATTCATGTTTTAGCTTACCGTTTAAAAGTCCAACGATAATTATTCTGCTGCCACTTAATTTAAAGACGATTTGATATACATAGATCCTTATTTTCCGTACGGTGTGGCAGAATAGAAGACAATTTATAAGATAAAATTAATATAGTGTAAAGATGGAAAAAAAAAGAAATTAGAATTAGTTACACATTAAAAATTTGAAGAGTTAATGATACATAATAGCTAATGAAGTAAAACCTATATTATGGAATCTATATGAATAAATGTGAAAGTAAAGTACAATTATCCAACGAATTCTGAAGTTAAAAAGCCCCAACTATGTATTATAGTAATTTATACGCTAAGAGCTCAATATCTTTATTATATATTATCTACTAATATCACTCTTCAGGTTTAACTAATTTGCATATTTATTTAAAAAACAGTATATTTCATTAACTAATTGTCCTTCATTAGTGTTCGTTTATTCAAGTATTGTTTTGATTTTCATATCAAAAATAGTTATGTTTAGGAATGTTGTCTTATATAGTGCCGAAAAGTGTTTGAAATTTGCATTTTACTTGGCCTTCAACAAGTTAGCATCTGTTTATAAAACTTTCCTTAAGTATAAGAAGCCAATTCATGGATGAAATGTTCATTTAAAATTTTTGTTTCAAAGATTTCAAGTAGTGAATACATCTTACTTTGCGAAGCGACAGAAAGCGGGCGAAGCCTGGTACTTTCTAACAAACATAATTGGCAGTTTTCAGTAAATTCAAATGGTTTTCTCCATATGTTATTTTATATTTTGACTCGTGGTTATTTTATTTCTGTTTTACTTTAATTGACGTCTTTTGTATTTTTTCTTTCTTTAAAGTTAATCATCTTGGATTTCTTCTTTGTGTATTTTGTTAATGCTTTTCCCCCAAGACAAGACAGAAGAGCCACTTAAGGTAGGCGGTTGCTAAATGCTGTTGTTGTAAGGGCATAAAAGGGGGAGCAAGAGTTGCATATTATGAGTATATGTAGGATAGATAAATGTTGTATCTTGACCTGAAGTATTCAAGATCTAAATTATTGGGGAAACATCCGCTGACGTCCGTTCTACAATGCAATAGTTCCAGCGTAGAATCTGAGTAGTCTGAGTGTGATGTTTTAATCTGGTAGAACCTGGGAAGGTGGTTCACCCGAACATTAGGAAATATCGATAGAGTAACGATATATATATATATAAATATATATATATATATATATATATATATATATATATATATATATATATATGTTAATTTCAATAAAGGTGCAATTAATTTTACAAATTCATGAATTATTCATACAAAAAACAAATACAAAGGTTAATGATTTAAATGGCGAGAAATCCATCATCGCGAGCAATTCAAATAACATACAAAAACCCCGAACCTGTTTATGAATGAAAAGATCCTTGTTTTTATAAATTTCTGTAGGAACAGACGAAAGCTTGTAAAAATAATAAGAACTTATGCAGCAGAAATTTATAAAAACAAGGATCTTTTCATTCATAAACAGTTTCGGGGTTTTTGTATATTATTTGAATTATTCGCGACGATTGATTTCTCTCCATTTAAATCATTAACCTTTGTATTTGTTTTTTGTATGAATAATTCATGTATATATATGTAATTCTCTTTCTTTTATTTCCTTTTGCAAATCTTATTTTGGGTATTTCTCATAATGTCATTGCATAGTTTTCACTGTTTCTTTGTCCTCTTGCGTACGAAATACAAGTGCCGGAAAGATTAAATTATTAATGTCAGTCTTTACCTTGATATGTTGCTTACCTAGTATGGCATTTTTTTTTATATATCTAAATTTATTCGCGGTATGTATATTTTATTCTGAGTTTATTGAATTTATATGAAAAAAATCTCGGCGAAACATTGATGCACAATGTTTATTTTATAAGTAGAGAAATCTTCACCGGCATGATTATTGCAGACGGCTTCTGTATTTGTTACAAATGTCTCAAAGATTTATATTCTCTTTATTCTTTATTCTTTCTTTCTTTCTTTCTTACTTTCTTTCTTTTTTCTTTCTTTTTTACTTTCTTTTTTCTTTCTTTCTTACCTTCTTTTTTCTTTCTTTCTTACTTTCTTTTTTCTTTCTTTCTTTCTTTCTTTCTTTCTTTCTTTCTTTCTTTCTTTCTTTCTTTTCTTTCTTTCTTACTTTCTTTCTTACTTCATTTCTTTCTTTCTTACTTCTTTCTTTCTTTCTTTCTTTCTTTCTTTCTTTCTTTCTTTCTTTCTTTCTTCTGTTTTTTTTTTTGTTCCTTCCTTCCCCTTTCCCTTCCTTCCTTCCTTTCTTTATTGTTATTTCATTGGTTGCTCCGAGAACGTAAAGACAATTTTACTTTGCCTGATTGCAAAATTCCTTTGGCCACCCATTTCTTTATCCAATTTATTTTCGCAATTATTTTAGCCTCACATCTGCCAATTCGATTTCTTTATCTTTCTCTTCTATTTACCTTCACTCTGGCTTGGAAAATGTAAATCTTTTGAAGAATTGTATTTGGAACTTTTCTCTCCCACTTTTCTTTTTCTATTCATTTTATTTTTTATTTATTTTTTTTTTCACGCTCTTTCTTTTTTTTATTTCTCCACTTTTGATTAAGATTAACTAGAGGAAATAAAATGGAAGTAGAAAGACTATATTCCGCCAATGATACTCTTGTAACAACACACAGCATTATCAGTAGGAAATAGGTAGAAATATTTCTGTATTCTCGTCCTGGTTGGTTTTTAATATATTTTGGAAACATTCTTTTGTCTTGTTTTTATTATTATTATTATTATTATTGTTGTTGTTGTTGTTATTTCTGATGTGTACTCATTTCTTTCCGGGTCCCGCCCAGGGACCTAAGGTTAGAAATGGCATCATGACGTTTTCCACTGTAAAAAAAAAAAAATAAAAAAATACATAGACAAAGCTCTTCGTAAGGTGTGGGCTGTACTTGTGAGAACGATTTTTTTGTATTTCTCTAAGGCATGGCCTTCCAGGAATCCCTTCAATTAGTCTACTGGAATCTTTTCCAACCAACCCGAGGGCTCCAGCTACAACAGGGATTATTGATGTTCCCCTGTCCCACTATTATTATTATTATTATTATTATTATTATTATTATTATTATTATTATTATTCAGCTATTCGTTTTTACCCCTTTTCTAATATGATAAACGCAATCCTTACCCCGTTGTAAAATTTTGTTTGCAAGTTTTGTGTTACTGAAATCTCCCTCATTTTCTTTCCATTGTCTTATATATAAATATACATATTCCGTTAAATAAGTGTATCCCAACCTGACCGATACTGCCCAACGGTTGTCGATTTTGACTGTTCGGTGGGCGATGAGCAAATAAAAAGGAAATGGTGGTTGATTAGAAGTTTTCTTGGGCGATAAAGGATTATGTGTATTGAAAACGTATTTGAACATATGCTATCTGTAAAAATATGTAAAGACTGTACTCAAAAAACACATATAAAAATCAGGAGGCTAAATGGAAATAGCTGGATCACATTCCTCGATAAGATTTAAATATGCCCACAAGCAACGAATATTTTGGTATTTTCTATAGTTTTGAGACGCTTCGATATCATTCAAATAGTTCTTCAAACGAACTTTTTTTTTCAGGAATAATCATATAAGAGAAGACCAAGAACAACAAAAAATATACACTGATTTTTTTTAGTTGCTTAAATTTTATGGTTATGAAAAAAATAGGTTAATTTTTTGTCAGCATTTGCAAAGCTAACCTTAACGTAAAATTAAACTTGACCATAAAACTAAATTATATATATATATATATATATATATATATATATAATATATATATATATATATATATATATATATATGTGTGTGTGTGTGTGTATAAATGATCAAGTTTTCTTTCGTTTATTTTTTAATAAACTAGCAGCTGCCGTATACGTGAGCGTTATTTGCTACCTCCCTTTGGTATGTTTTTACTACGTCGTAAAGTCAATTCATGGCAATTTTCTAAGCGTAGCTTAGATGTGACACAAGGTCGAATGTATGGGGCATCCAGTAAGCTCACTATTCAGTTGTAATTGATATAGGGAGACAAGCTCTCTAACAATTACACCTCTTCGAAGTGCCCATATAAAGTCAGTTTACGAACCAGTAAAAAACTTTTAACGAACAATTTTCGTATGCTTTTGAATATTTACTCTACAGGTAGGTGGTGTGATTTTTTTTTCCATTTGAAAGTGGGTATTGACGGAAAAAAAGTTTGTGAACTCCCATCTCTAAATACAGTTTGTTTTTTGTTTTGTTTTCCAGTTCGTTTAAAATCTGCATAAGATGGAGAAAAAGTCTTAAGTGGAATTTTATCTAAAATAAGGAAGAATAAATGGAGTAATTGTTCAAAAGCAGAAAGACCAAAGACCAGACACAAACTATAAAAAGAAAATGGTCTAATTTGTCGTGAGAATTTAGTGGCACCACCTGAAAATTTAGAAAAGATGTAATTAAAGTTGTACATGATTATATCCTAAATATGCCGTAATAAAGAATTTCAGCCACAATAAATTACGCTCTATGTTCTAAGTTAACAGAACGATGGTCTAGAGTTCATATGGATCACTCACAAGTTAACTGGATAGGTTTATGTCTCATACTGTGTTGACGATTTTTCCGTCTAGCCTGAAGTTTTAAAGTTCAGGATAAAAATCTATTACTATAAAACAAATATTACACATATTATTTGCTTGAAATGGAGTGCCAAAAACGTTGGTAACTGATAATGTTCCCGAATTCGGTGATGAAAATCCATGCTTTTGGTTAAGGAAGATTACCCATGTATAAAACCTCCTTTTACCTTCAATAAAACGGGATTGCTAAACGAATGTTCCAAACAATTAAGATGGGATTAAACACTTTTTTCCCAGCAAGAAAAGATTGTAACCTTACTACCAAGATTATCATTTAGATACAGAACGATATCAAATGTTGACAGATTAGAGAGCCCAATTGCATTAATGGGCAGACAGATTAGAGCTCCATTAACCATAGCTTACTCGATTAATGAAAACATATGGTACAAAAGAAATAAAGAAAACGAGCCAGAAAAGGCGAATTCCATAATGCAAAACGGATATAACACAGCATTAATATGCAAGAATGGTAAAAATGGAATGGGATTGCTGATCGAATGGTCAAAACATGAAAGGTGGGACTGAAAGCATTTTCTTCTCGGCACGAAAAGATTAAAACATTCCTACTAAGATTATTGTTAGCTTACAGAACGACACCACATGCTGACAGATTAGAGAGGCCGTATGGATTAACGGCCAGATATTAATCATGTCTTAGTTTAGTAAGAAAAACATGGTACAAAAGAAATATAGAAAATGAGCCGGAAAAGGCGAATCTCATAATGCAAAAATGATATAACACAGCATTAATATGCAAGAATGGTAAAAATATCGTTGTCCATGCAGACCAGTTAAGAGCTAACCAAAATAACGAGGAAGTACAAAGCGAAGCTAGTTCGAATGAGTATGTAGATGAACACAAAAGCATGACAGAGGAACCAATAGAAGATCAAGGTTATTTGGAAGACTTGAAGTACGAAACATGGGACTCTGAGAATAAAAGAACTAGATCAATTTTCCCATTACGAGAAATACTTGTGAAGCCAGAGAGATGTGGAAGACGTGAAAATCCAAAAGATTCAGGAAGATGTAATGGGATTGGTTTAGCTAATAGGTAATTAGCATAAAGACAGTTTACGTCGACACCTCTTTGAAACAGCAGTTCTCGTACGATCAGAGAACATGGCCGAATCTGGTTAATACCTAGATTGGTGACCGTTTGGGAATACCAAGTGCCGTAGCATCAGATGTGCGGGTGGTGTAAAGGATAACAGCTCAGAATTGGAAACCGGGGAGCCGAGTTCCATAATCTGTTCGCTATATTGACTCACGCTAAAATACACTGTGCAAGGGTATTTATACACCTCTTCCCCTTCCCCCGGATATTGGTTAATTATTGGAATTATATCGACAAATCCTTTTTATCTACTAAAAATTCTTACAAAGTAAAAATATTTTCTGGCCTTAAATAATCTGTAAAAGGTTGATAATGCATAAAAAAAACCTACTAATCAATCAACATTAGCAATATTCAGATGTCTGCATATTTTAACTGATACCACACTCTTAAACCTGATCCCGATTAACGGAATGTGTATACATCGGTTGCAGATTAATTGTCAATCATTCACCTCCTTTATGTTAAAAGAGAATGAAACATATTTCGAAAACGTTTAATGGTGCGAACGCAGACATAACTTAACGTGATTGCTGTGTTTTAAACATTTATTTTTTTTGTAGGTTTACATGTGTTTATATTTCTATAATTTTGCCTTGGAAAATACGGCGCCATTTGCTGTAGTAGAAGCAAAGAAGATTTTAATTGCTTTGTTTTCAATACCAAGATTCCGTTTTTCTGAGTTATGTGTGTTTGTCTGAATGAATTATTGAATTACCTATCTTTTATTACGGAGTCGGCAATGACAAATACAATCATTAACTCCAGCCAGAAATCATCTAAAAGATAGGGACGTTTGCTCTCATCTTTGCTTTCTTTCGTGTATTTTCCCCTGTTTGTAATTAACTGAAATAGGCAACTGTTTAGCTACCGAGATCTTCCTGTTTAATTTCCCATATAAAGAAGATTTCGCATTTTGTCCTTCGCTCGTTTCGTTTCGTATCAAGACAATAGTTGCTTCCCTGTGCCCCCCCCCCCGCCAGCAGTGGAACGTAAAATCTGATGGAATCGAGAGTAATAGGATCTTAAACTAACATCGCAAAGGAAATGGATCAGAAAAGCGAGGCACAGAAATTAAAGCTCAAGGAAAAAGAGAGCAATTCAATAAACTGTCTGATAAGGATTGATGATATGATACGCTAAAGTAAATTAAGATGGAAGTTACACATGAAAGACTAAATGAAAAAAAAGGAGACAGCAGAAGTCGAACAAAGTAGAAAGAAAACTTAATAAACAAGGGAAATAGTTAGAATCGAAAAGGGAATAGCATTTAACGAAAAAAAAAATGGCGAATGTTAGGACATATTGACCTCTCTCTGGTTATTGTGAAAAAAAGAATATTCTTCAGCTACTTGTATACATGCCCATATAAGTGCATTTGATTGTATATATAAACATGATTAATTATGCATATAGTTTTATACATAATGTCACTGACCGCTCAATTATTACTCGTTAACATATGCACATTTATGCAAATTTCTAAACAGGCAATGACGTGGCAGGAGTTTAATGGACTTGAGGATTTAAACATGTTCATACTCAC